TATCAAGAGACCATCTGCATGTCCATACAAGACCCTTGGGACAACCAAGTTCTTTTAATTTTAACATTACTATATATGACTCTCTCGCATCTATTGGTCCCAAAAGGATACATGTGCACCTGTCCTATCTTGACAGTTCTCACATGATGCAAAATATTGTGCAAACAACAGAGGAATTGAATACGAGCATGAACACTTGGAGGTGTGTGGATGCTACAGTTCATCTCGATCACAATCGAAAAGGACAGGGTCGATTCGAAACTTTCGAGAAGTACGTCGCAAAGTGTTGCAACAAGTTTCTGTTCATGAGGTACTGCAAGAGTATCGTTCCAATGAAGGAAGTTGATTGGTCTTATAAGAGAGATTGGAAGAGAGAGAAATAAATCTTGAGATGTTGATTGGGCGATCGTCCAGACCTTGCCTTAATGACATATTTTGAGATGGTCGTCTTCGGTTTCGGGCTGATAAGAAGAGAGAGGCAAATAAATGAAAGAGAGGGGGGGCGGGGGGGGGGGGGGAGAGAGAGAGAGAGAGAGAGAGAGAGAGAGAGAGAGAGAGAGAGAGAGAGAGAGAGAGAGAGAGAGAGAGAAATTGTGTTTTTAAAGTGAAGGTGGATTCCACTACGTAATAACTGTGCCTTCATCATACTGCGCCCACTTGCTGACTTTAATGGAACGAAAAATCTTCATATAAAACTTTTTTTTCTTTGTATGCTCGTGTTGCTTTTTCTTTATTCTTTGATCTTTTCCTTTTTTTTTTTTTTTTTTTGAATTTTCAATCTGTCATTTTTTTAATTCATTAATTAAGCTCAGACTTTGAAGTCGATCTTAGGCTATTCTTTATTACCGTTTGATTCCTTTTTTTTTTTTTTTTTTTTTTTTTTTTTTTTTTTTTTTTTTTTTTTTTTTTTTTTTTTTTTTTTTTTTTTTTTTTTTTTTTTTTTTTTAAGTTTGTCTGAGTTTATGCGAGTGGTCCGTGTGAGGTCACCTACAACATTTATTACTTCTGTGGGCATCGTCGGCGCTTAGCTAGTTGAATTGGTTGGGCTTAAAAAAAAAGAAAAACCCTTCATCCCGCCCTTTCTGCAGCCATAATGTGTACTGGCAATGCCCCTCAATATCAAGGAAGACCTTGCTACGGATGAGGCCACTCAGTTTGGTTGCAAAGCAGGGGTTCGATGAGTGGTAGGTGATCTCTCTCTCTCTCATGTGGTGTGTGTTGTCATGTTAGGTGTACACAACTCCAGAGAAAAAGCATGACCATGACATACTGTTTCGTTGAACTTCCTGGTGCGTACGTGCGAGCGCGCGAGCGCGCGCGTGTGTGTGTGTGTGTGTGTGTGTGTGTGTGTGTTGTCATATTCGCTATACACAAAAAAAAAGCACGACTGTGCCAGACTGTTTCGTCGGACTTTCATCGACTCATGAGGAGGTTGAACCCTGACAGTCTGCCCAGGATGCATTTGACTGATGGATAAAGACTCACCACATCACGCAGAGTTAGCGATACCCCTAAGAAAAGTGATTGGCTTTACTCGCCCTAACCCTGCAATCCCACCACACACTATCGGTACAAACCCCGCACAAGAATGACAAAAAGTTTGGTGCGTGTGTGTTGTGACTGTTCGCCATACACAACTCCACAAAAAAACCATGACTGTGCCATCCAGACTGTTTCGTCGGACTTTCACTGACTCATCTGGAGTTCGAAGCCCAACGTGTGTGTGTGTGTTGTGTGGTATTATATCCTCCAGAGTCTATACATAACTCCACGGAGAAAAACATGATCCTTCCAGACAGTGTGTGTGTGTGTGTTGTCATATTCGCTATACACTAAAAAAAAGCATGACTGTGCCAGACTGTTTCGTCGGACTTTGTGTGTGTGTGTGTGTTTGTATGTGCGCGTGCAAATGTTTGAATAGCTTTAGACGGATCCCAATTTTCCTGACGTCCAGATCGGTCGCCCAGTCTGACCGTTCATCGCTGACGTCATCCACTCTGCCGATGAACCTCTCATTTCGAAACCAATCAATTACTCCCTGATCAATTACTCCCTGACGTGTCAAGAATTTGGGCCTCGCTCCAGCAGTCACCACAATGTGCAAAATGAGAATGAATTTTCCACTATAACATGGAAAGATGCATTGCCATAATTTGTCTTTCTGAATGTGGTGAGTGGTGGAAGGAGTCTCTTTGAATATAGTGAGGAGGGGAGGAAGGGTTTCCAGGTGAGACATGCCACGTGTATGTGGGTTGGAGAAGCAGTCTTTTTTTTTTTTTTTTTTTTTTTTTTTTTT